AGTGTGTGGTGGATTACGTGTGCATCAGTGTGTGGTGGATTACGTGTGCATCAGTGTGTGGTGGATTACGTGTGCATCAGTGTGTGGTGGATTACGTGTGCATCAGTGTGTGGTGGATTACGTGTGTATCAGTGTGTGGTGGATTACGTGTGCATCAGTGTGTGGTGGATTACGTGTGTATCAGTGTGTGGTGGATTACGTGTGTATCAGTGTGTGGTGGATTACGTGTGCATCAGTGTGTGGTGGATTACGTGTGCATCAGTGTGTGGTGGATTACGTGTGCATCAGTGTGTGGTGGATTACGTGTGTATCAGTGTGTGGTGGATTACGTGTGCATCAGTGTGTGGTGGATTACGTGTGCATCAGTGTGTGGTGGATTATGTGTGTATCAGTGTGTGGTGGATTATGTGTGTATCAGTGTGTGGTGGATTATGTGTGTATCAGTGTGTGGTGGATTACGTGTGTATCAGTGTGTGGTGGATTATGTGTGTATCAGTGTGTGGTGGATTACGGGTGTATCAGTGTGTGGTGGATTACGTGTGTATCAGTGTGTGGTGGATTACGTGTGCATCAGTGTGTGGTGGATTACGTGTGCATCAGTGTGTGGTGGATTACGTGTGCATCAGTGTGTGGTGGATTACGTGTGCATCAGTGTGTGGTGGATTACGTGTGCATCAGTGTGTGGTGGATTACGTGTGTATCAGTGTGTGGTGGATTACGTGTGTATCAGTGTGTGGTGGATTACGTGTGTAAATCAGTGTGTGGTGGATTATGTGTGTATCAGTGTGTGGTGGATTATGTGTGTATCAGTGTGTGGTGGATTATGTGTGTATCAGTGTGTGGTGGATTATGTGTGTATCAGTGTGTGGTGGATTATGTGTATCAGTGTGTGGTGGATTATGTGTGTATCAGTGTGTGGTGGATTACGTGTGTATCAGTGTGTGGTGGATTACGTGTGTATCAGTGTGTGGTGGATTACGTGTGTATCAGTGTGTGGTGGATTACGTGTGCATCAGTGTGTGGTGGATTACGTGTGTATCAGTGTGTGGTGGATTATGTGTGTATCAGTGTGTGGTGGATTATGTGTGTAAATCAGTGTGTGGTGGATTATGTGTGTATCAGTGTGTGGTGGATTATGTGTGCATCAGTGTGTGGTGGATTATGTGTGTATCAGTGTGTGGTGGATTACGTGTGTATCAGTGTGTGGTGGATTATGTGTGTATCAGTGTGTGGTGGATTATGTGTGTATCAGTGTGTGGTGGATTACGTGTGTATCAGTGTGTGGTGGATTACGTGTGTATCAGTGTGTGGTGGATTACGTGTGTATCAGTGTGTGGTGGATTACGTGTGTATCAGTGTGTGGTGGATTACGTGTGTATCAGTGTGTGGTGGATTACGTGTGTATCAGTGTGTGGTGGATTATGTGTGTATCAGTGTCTGGTGGATTACGTGTGTATCAGTGTGTGGTGGATTACGTGTGTATCAGTGTGTGGTGGATTACGTGTGTATCAGTGTGTGGTGGATTATGTGTGTATCAGTGTGTGGTGGATTATGTGTGTATCAGTGTGAGGTGGATTACGTGAGTATCAGTGTGTGGTGGATTATGTGTGTATCAGTGTCTGGTGGATTACGTGTGTATCAGTGTGTGGTGGATTACGTGTGTATCAGTGTGTATCAGTGTGTGGTGGATTACGTGTGTACCAGTGTGTGGTGGATTACGTGTGTATCAGTGTGTGGTGGATTACGTGTGTATCAGTGTGTGGTGGATTATGTGTGTATCAGTGTCTGGTGGATTACGTGTGTATCAGTGTGTGGTGGATTACGTGTGTATCAGTGTGTGGTGGATTACGTGTGTATCAGTGTGTGGTGGATTATGTGTGTATCAGTGTGTGGTGGATTATGTGTGTATCAGTGTGTGGTGGATTATGTGTGTATCAGTGTGTGGTGGATTATGTGTGTATCAGTGTGTGGTGGATTACGTGTGTATCAGTGTGTGGTGGATTACGTGTGTATCAGTGTGTGGTGGATTATGTGTGTATCAGTGTGTGGTGGATTACGTGTGTATCAGTGTGTGGTGGATTACGTGTGCATCAGTGTGTGGTGGATTACGTGTGTATCAGTGTGTGGTGGATTATGTGTGTATCAGTGTGTGGTGGATTATGTGTGTAAATCAGTGTGTGGTGGATTATGTGTGTATCAGTGTGTGGTGGATTATGTGTGCATCAGTGTGTGGTGGATTACGTGTGTATCAGTGTGTGGTGGATTATGTGTGTATCAGTGTGTGGTGGATTATGTGTGTATCAGTGTGTGGTGGATTATGTGTGTATCAGTGTGTGGTGGATTACGTGTGTATCAGTGTGTGGTGGATTACGTGTGTATCAGTGTGTGGTGGATTACGTGTGTATCAGTGTGTGGTGGATTACGTGTGTATCAGTGTGTGGTGGATTACGTGTGTATCAGTGTGTGGTGGATTACGTGTGTATCAGTGTGTGGTGGATTATGTGTGTATCAGTGTCTGGTGGATTACGTGTGTATCAGTGTGTGGTGGATTACGTGTGTATCAGTGTGTGGTGGATTACGTGTGTATCAGTGTGTGGTGGATTATGTGTGTATCAGTGTGTGGTGGATTATGTGTGTATCAGTGTGAGGTGGATTACGTGAGTATCAGTGTGTGGTGGATTATGTGTGTATCAGTGTCTGGTGGATTACGTGTGTATCAGTGTGTGGTGGAATTACGTGTGTATCAGTGTGTATCAGTGTGTGGTGGATTACGTGTGTACCAGTGTGTGGTGGATTACGTGTGTATCAGTGTGTGGTGGATTACGTGTGTATCAGTGTGTGGTGGATTATGTGTGTATCAGTGTCTGGTGGATTACGTGTGTATCAGTGTGTGGTGGATTACGTGTGTATCAGTGTGTGGTGGATTACGTGTGTATCAGTGTGTGGTGGATTATGTGTGTATCAGTGTCTGGTGGATTACGTGTGTATCAGTGTGTGGTGGATTATGTGTGTATCAGTGTGTGGTGGATTATGTGTGTATCAGTGTCTGGTGGATTACGTGTGTATCAGTGTGTGGTGGATTACGTGTGTATCAGTGTGTGGTGGATTACGTGTGTATCAGTGTGTGGTGGATTATGTGTGTATCAGTGTGTGGTGGATTATGTGTGTATCAGTGTGTGGTGGATTATGTGTGTATCAGTGTGTGGTGGATTATGTGTGTATCAGTGTGAGGTGGATTACGTGTGTATCAGTGTGTGGTGGATTATGTGTGTATCAGTGTCTGGTGGATTACGTGTGTATCAGTGTGTGGTGGATTACGTGTGTATCAGTGTGTGGTGGATTACGTGTGTATCAGTGTGTGGTGGATTATGTGTGTATCAGTGTGTGGTGGATTATGTGTGTATTATGTGTGTATCAGTGTGTGGTGGATTATGTGTGTATCAGTGTCTGGTGGATTACGTGTGTATCAGTGTGTGGTGGATTACGTGTGTATCAGTGTGTGGTGGATTATGTGTATCAGTGTGTGGTGGATTATGTGTGTATCAGTGTGTGGTGGATTATGTGTGTATCAGTGTGTGGTGGATTATGTGTGTATCAGTGTGTGGTGGATTACCGGTGTATCAGTGTGTGGTGGATTATGTGTGTATCAGTGTGTGGTGGATTACGTGTGTATCAGTGTGTGGTGGATTATGTGTGTATCAGTGTGTGGTGGATTACGGGTGTATCAGTGTGTGGTGGATTATGTGTATCAGTGTGTGGTGGATTATGTGTGTATCAGTGTGTGGTGGATTATGTGTGTATCAGTGTGTGGTGGATTATGTGTGTATCAGTGTGTGGTGGATTACCGGTGTATCAGTGTGTGGTGGATTATGTGTGTATCAGTGTGTGGTGGATTACGG